CAACGGGGTCATTGAAGCAACGACTAACAATGTTGAGGCAATGCCCATGGAGCAATGGCTCCCGAACGCCGGGGTTCGTCAACAACCCAGCAACGTGTCTTTCGGCAACATTGCGGCAATATTGCTGGCGCACTATCACCCCATCAACGTTGCTGCAACGTTGAATCAATGGTACAGCTTGCCAACATCGCATCAGGGCTGGTTGGTGCATTTTCAAGCAATGTTGCATCAATGCCACTGCACATCAGTATTGTAGCGAGGCCAATTGCAGCAAAGTGTGGACATGCCCTAGTAGCAAGTGTCCCTGGGTTGCGATCACCCCTTCTGTTGCAGGGTGCCACCCAACGTCACGACGTGGCGCCGCACCCCGTTTCGACTGCAGGCCAGCCCTGTCAGTTGCCGAGGGCTTGCTCCCTGCATCGATGCCACTAGGCACCGACCTTGCAATCCGATCGAGACATAGGCCGGCTCAACGCTGTCCAGCATTTGCAGGGTTAAGGCGACGTGTTCTCTCTGAAGAGCTCGCAACCTTGTCCTAAGAGCAAGGTTTCCATCAGACTTGCCATCGGACTCGTCGGCCAGCATCGAATCGATGGCCAGCATCGAATTGATGGCCATCCTCGAGATCGTCGGAGGATTGATCCTGCTCAAACTCAAGCGCTGACCCATGACGCGCACACACGGGAAGGGGCCTGGCGGTGGCGCCCTTGTGCTGCACCCCGCTGTGCGATGTCAGCGTTAGCGCTGGCCACTGGAGGCAACAACGACTTTGTTCAAACGCCAGCCTCGCAAGCGATGCCTTGCTTCTGGATTTGTCATCTAGGAATGCTCCACCGTTCGAATTTTGAGGGCCATGATGAAGATCTCCGGGCACGATGTTCTTGAGTCGCAATACCCCGCACGTGGTGGCGGCGTGGCGACGCTGTGCGCGTTGTGGGGGTAGGTACGCGTGGTGTGCGGAGGGCCGAGCTGTGTGGACTGGGGTACAGTGGCGGCGCCCTTGCCCGCCCTTGCCATCTACCCGGCGGCGGCATCTTCAGATCGAATTTCGTTGGCAATGGAGAAAGGTCATAGCCAGGCCTTGTTGTGGCCGTGCGTGTGCACCAGGTGCGTTGCACAGCCCGTGAGCAAAGGAACGCGAGCGACTGATCATGTGTGCTGCATTGCAGGGGGCGCTAAGTGTGGGCATGTTTGTTTTGCCTTGTAGGTGACAGTATGTGCAGCTGGCGGCTGTTAAGTTTCTTGTGGTTGCATGCGCAGAGGATCACCTTCCAACCGAAGCATGAGCGGTTCCGACTCTGTTGACCACACACAGCAGTTGGCTGTGGCCTCCAACAATCAAACATGGCTTGCGCACGCGAAACGCACCACAGTATCAAGCGATCCTCAAAGCGAACAAGCCGGCCACCCCACCTCAAAGCACCCACCCAGCCACCCACAGCACGCACACGCACACCACACGCACCGCCCGCCCACCCAGCAATGCGTGCCATTGACACTGTGCACCAACAAAGCATCTTGCTGCAACTACACTATCAACACGTCTTGCTGCAACGTTGCAGCAACGTCTGGGCAAAAGCCATTGATGGTGACACTCCATCAATTCAGGCATTGATGCAACGTTGCCATATTGCTCTTGATGCAACATTGCATCAAGGCCGCTCTACACACACCAGCTCTTAAGACCGGCGTTGATGGAAGTGCCCATCAATGTTGCATCAACGCCTAGCAAATTTCCGGATGCATGTGCACACCGGCAGCGTGTGCATGAGGAGCAGGCCTTTAATGTTTTCATTCATGAGCGCCCAGATGTGTGCAGCACTCGTTCAAAGTACGCCCATGCACCACTTACAATAAAAAATCTGCACGGGCTTATGCTGGCTGGCACAATCTTTAACTACGAACTCACACTTCCAGCGACGATCGGCTCGGGGCAGCACAAGCACTTTGGCGATCGTTGGCGATGCCTTACACAGCACTGGTAAAAAAGGCCAAATAACACGTATTCAAACGTGCACAAAGTATACGGGTTTGGGCTATTTCCGTGTTTTTACCTTGCAGGACGCTGATAAAATGCATATGTATGTTTTCGGAAAAAGTCTTATTTGGTCCTGTTTTTCCCAGTGCAGGAAGCTGCCTGCCGAACAAGCAAGCCCGCCAAGAAGACCGTGAGAGCCCAAGCGGAGCCTGCGGACCAGAAGTTCCAAATTGCAACGGCAGCAACTGCCAGAAATATATCTGGGCGTCTGTACTAGCATGATCCGGTCAGCACCGGCACTCCAGCAACCTGGCGAGGCACTTATGGGTGCCTGGCGCATCCCAAGTCCCGATCCGTGTTTCCTCAACCAACAATTCATCACTGGCCTTGATCGCCTGGCCTTCATGGTGCGTCGCGCTGGTGGGCAATGGACGGCAGGCGCCACGCAGGATCCATGGCGAAACCGTTGCTCAGCAGCGCCGCGTCCTTGAAAGGTGGCATTCAACGCACCTTCAAGGCTGTCAAACAACATCATCGAGCCGCGGGACTCACGAAACGCCACGTTGACGTTACGTTGGCGTTGGACCAATATGCAATGCGCTCCCACAGCTGGACCAGCTTGAAAAGACCTTCGCCTGTGCACGTCCCATGCACCCCTTGGCGCCCCAGCAGCTGACAGGTCGCGTCCAGGCGCAGCGTCATGCACCCCTGGCGTCACGTGACTACACACCTTCAAAACGGTGCGCAGCCAATGTAAGCATTCCCCTGCGGTACGACCTGGCTCCTGCACCTTGACCCTGAGGCCCCAAAGTGAGGCCACGCCCATCACGCCGCCGACAGGCGTGATGAGTCACACGTTGGCCACAGCCGCTGAAGTACGAGACGCGCAGCTGATCTCGGCGAGGGCCCAACAACGATATCCGTTAGCGGATAGACAGCGCAACGCGACCGCGCTGCGCGCCGCCCAGGCCCCCGTGGCACGGCGGCTGCCGGCTCGTCGGCTGGCTGACCCTCGCACAGGCTGCAACAGCCCTTACTCGGTGGCACACTCAACCCTTTGCCCCGCATTTTCTCGCGCCAGAACAGATCGACTCTGGGCCCTCCGGCCGTTTGGTAAGGAGCCTTGCGCGGCGCTCTCGCCTTCTCGCCCTCGTTGATCCTACAAGTATGAATTCTTGCACCTGATTTTGGATCTTGGGTGAGTTACGAGCTGGAAGCATGTGGCTGGTGTCAGGCGGGGGCGCCATGGCCGGCACCGACGAGCGGCCCGCCCGGGAGCCCGCCAAGCGCGTGGCGGCGACGGGCGCGCCGGAGGCCAGGGCGCCGCCCTCCGGAGGCCAGGCGCCCTGTGGTGAGGCCACGAGGGCCAAGTTCTCCACCAGCCAGATGCGCGTCAACGGGGAGGTGAGGCTTGGCGGCGCCGGCGCGCTCGATCACTGAACCGGCCGCCCTTCCTCTCAACGCGGATCGTCTCGGTTTTTCCCGTCACCGGAAGGGGCGTGGGGGAAGGCGGGGGGGATGGGCCCAGCGTTGGCAGTGCCACGGCCCACAGCGGGAAGGGGGATGCCCGTTTGGCGCGCTCTCCCGCTCGCAGCCATGCGGCATTCTCTCGTTGGCTGCTCGTTGATGTGGCCACTCAGGAGGCGCGTGGGCGGCGACCTCCCTCCGGGCCAGGCGTTTTGGGCCCCTGTTCGGCCAAAGATACGCGGCGAGCGCGTGCAGAGGAGGGGATGAGCGGTCTCCGCACGCCCTGGCCGCGCCGATCGACGAGGGCGGCGCCCGATCGCGGCCGCTCGCGGCCGGTGGTCTTGTGCTTATCGCGCTTACGTTTGTCGTCATCGCCGCCTCTCCAGGGCAATGCGAGCAGCTGCTCGCTGGGGTTCCCCCGCACCACGCACCGATCCAATCCCCTCCTCCTCTCACCCCAGTGAGAGTCGGCCCCATTTCCCACGAGCGGCCATGCACCTCGCGCTTCGCACAGTAACCTCCGTGCCCGCTGATCCGCGCTGCCATGAATCCAACACCAATTTTTTTTGGCGCCGTGTGCGATTGTGCCAGGACGTGGTGTTCGCCCGCGAGGGCCTCACCACGGAGGACGGCGGCCCGGTATGGTCGTTGTACTGCGTCTGCGACGGCCACGGTGGCTCTGCTGCCGCGAACTACGTGCGCGGCAACCTCTGGAGCGCCCTGGCGCCGAGACTGCCGGGGGCGGCACTTCCGGAGGTGGGCTCCACAGGTGCGATCGGGGGGCCGAGTACGGATGGCCCGGGAACGGCACCGGGAGGTACGGATCCCGGGAAGGGTGGGAGGTTTGGCCCGGCGCCGCCGGCGGGGGGGTGCGGGCCCCGGGGCGCGGGGGACGGACGTGGGAAAGGGGATGTGTTTGATTGGCGGCCGCGGCGGGAGAGTCAGGATTTGTGAGCCGAGGTTCGGGGCCTACCCGTCCGACATCGCCGGCACGGATGGGATCTTTGGTCGCCATTTTTGAGGCAGCGTTCTTTTGTTCTTGTGCCGAGCGGAGGTGACATGCGCCCTCGTGGGCGCGTGGCCGCGAACGGGCTGCAAGCCTGGGTGCCGGGAGTCGAGCTGCCTTGGAGGCTCCTCTGGTGACCTTCGTTTCCCTGGACATGAAGGGGTCACGAAGGTTGTGAAGGATACGAGGGGCCTTGAAAACGTAAAACCTGAAACGCCTAAAACACCTAAAACATCTGGGAAGAATGTAACACAACGCGAAATTGACCTTCGTGGCGCCTTCGTGACCTTCATGTACAGAAAAGGAGGGTATTGGACATTCCTGCTATCCCATTACACGGCTAGAAGGCGGCGCTCGTCCCGTCCACGGGTAACTGAAACATAACCTCTGTCTCAAAATTCGTGTCCGATCGCCAATTTGCGCAAACGGAGGTCAAAACGAGCGAGTCAGAAAATTGCCAGCAACAACTTCGAAACTCCATATCAGGAGCTATCCGTATAGCCCTCGAATGCACCCAGTGCCCTTGCTGTTGTTGCGATGTGTCAAGAGGGGCTTAGACGCGACTTTGCGTTTTGTCAGGGCATTGGGTGACGCACATAGAGCTTGCTTTGCCTTCAAATGAGGTTGATCTAGCTGAGCTGTCACTGGGAGAGCGACGTATGCATTGGCGGCCTGGTATGCACTGAAGCTGCAATTCAATTCCAAATAGACTTCGCAAGGAAAGGATCAGAGTTTGCAGCGAAGTTTTGGGTGTCAACAAGAATCATATGCTGGCGGTGGGGCAAAGCCTAAAGGTGCCTTGAATAGTGAAAGAGCGTCAACTTTGCAGAGTTTCCAAGGTTTGGAAAACCGCACATACTGAGCCTAACCAAAAATACGGCCAAGGTGGGTGCGGACACGGCCAATTGTTGAACAAAAGACTTTTAGAAGCACAGCTCGTCACAATGGAAGAGATTGTCTACAAAGAATATGATAGAAGTGATGGCAAGCTCTTGAAAACGTGTGAAACAGCCTATTTGTTATCTAGAACAAAGTTCTTCACGGACTTTGGGGTAATGGGTTGGGACATACCCAAATGAGGCCAATGCAACAACGCGAAGTACTGCAGGTCTGCGGGGAACTGGATAGGGACATTTTAATAAGGATGCATATGTCGTTTTGTATGGTGACGGTCATTGTAACCAAGATGCAGATCAAACCAACATCAACTAGAGACAGATATAGTATAAATGTGGATCTAATATGACCGTGAGTTAAATCAGGTTTTAAAGCAAAGCCTGGCGTGGGCATCTTGCTCTGTATGATGGGACCGGATTGACAACTCCAAACGGCGCCTTGCATGACAGTTCGAGCTTATGCTTCGGCGATGCATCCACTGCAAGTGTGCCTTCCGGATCCTTCTGAATTTCTCAGCCAGCGATCGCCAGAACTGGCCTAGCTGTGTGTGACCTATATTGATCCAATTCGCCTGCCATCGACACAGATTTTGAGGCATTTGCCTTGGCCGTGAGGGCTGCCGCCACGAACGCTTTCATGAAGATCGGCGACAGCTTCATAACCGACGTCGCTGCAGACACTTCAGGTGGGTCCTGATATGTCAAGGGTATTCCCACGCAGCCAACGACCGTGGCCCATCCTTTGATTTGGCGCGAATCAATGCTGCGAGTGGCGTCAATCAAATGGGCATGACTACAGCCGCTGCGTTAGAGGATTTGTGATTTAGGCTGAGTGCATTTGGACAAGACATTGGTACTTCTGTCTGTCGATGTTCTGATGTTGACCATTGCACGCATTTTGTAAGGTTGAATTGCCACTGCCGCAATGACCGTACCCAACTGTTTGGCCACAACCAAACTGCGTCGAATTGCTGAAACTTCTGTTGACGTTTCAACCCTTTACGATGAGACCAAGATGGGCGGGTGCATTTTTGTGTCATACCGTGCGGCATGGCATGGCGGTTGTTAAATACGTGAACGGGTATGCCAGCACCTAACGCTCAGCCAACACCTGGTTGTGTGCACGCCACGCAATGTGTGATGACAATCTCAGGAACATTTGGAACAAGGTTTAAATATTTATTGTTGTTTGGCTGAGCGCCCCTTTCCAGTAAGGATGTCGGCATGTAGCATGTGTGTCATGCTCAACCAACCAATTTTCGAGGCAAATCATACAGTCGTTGAAATTCGTTTGCACGCGCATCGCGTGTCCAATTGAGTGCACGCTTCATCAACATTGCACTCTTCCGGAGCACCAGGCAGAGCCTCAAAGGCAGACAGACTGCAGCATGGACTGGCGAAAATCGGCCATTTCGCACAAACTGCTTCCCCAATAAACTCGTATGAACTTGACGACAAATCGGGCGTGTGCAATGCACACTGCGTTGAAAACTGACCCGAGTTTTTGTAACATTAGAAACTGCAATACACATTCAATGTGGTTGTTGACATTTTTTTGTGTTGGCACGTCAAATTGTGTTGCGTCCTGGAAATTGTCCACCGTGCATTCGCAGTGGCGTGTAGACTCCACAGAAAGCCACCCAACCTGTTGCGACATTAATTATTTACTCACTTCAAGGAATGTTACAATGTTGAAAGTGTCAAGTAAACTACTGACCAAAAAAGTCCATTGGCGCCATTCTCACAGTCGACGTGTGCTGCGCCGCAGGCACGACCGTTACGATGGCCCTGCTGTGCGGGACCCTGTTGACCGTGGTCAACGTCGGCGACGCTGACGCCGTCCTGGACACCGGCACCGAGGCCCTCCTGGCCACCGCCAACCACCGCATCCAGTCCAGCTGCGCGGAGCGGGAGCGGCTTTCCGGCGCGGGCGTGCACCTGGCGCCCATGTCGCCGTCCTTCTCTGGGCCCGCGGGGCCCGAGGAGGACAGTGTGGGGCCGCTGAGGTGCTGGCCCGGTGCCGTGACGGTGTCGAGGTCCGTGGGGGACAAAAAGGCCGGCGCCGAAATCCTGGCGTGCCCGCATGTCTTTCAGGTGCGGCGATGCGCCCCGTCCAGCAACCTGTCGGCGCTTGCACCAATAGGAAACACCACTCTTGCAATGCCAACCTGCGATGCCGTTCTGATACTCGGTGGGGCCATCACAGTGATTGCGATGGCATAAACGTAGAGCTGCGTCGTCCGTTAGTGTCGAATGGCATCGCGGGTGGCATCGCCAATGTGTCATTTGCTATTGGTGTGGCCTGTTCGGTCGCGATTGGGCACGGCGGATGCAGCGGAATGGCGGCCACCTCGTTGCCTCGACGTGCAAGGAAATTGATGCGTGAAATGTCTTGTTGGTGATGTGTCCTCTGTGGGCGCAGCAGATAATTTAAAATTATGCAGATAATTTAAAATTGAATGGGATCGGGAATGATTGAATGCCGGCAACAAAGGTTCTGAGTATATGAAAGGTATATCTATGTTGTGGTGACATAAATAACATATATAGATATGAATAAATGCTGCATGTTCAGGCCAGGTTACTTATCTCGCTGCTTGCAGCCATCTTCGGCACAGAATCACATATTGAAGGCAACGTCGATCCATTTCCATGCGACCAATGTAGGGTGATGCGCCGAGCAATGTGTGAATGGTTGGCCTGCTGGCATGTCCACTGTCCTGACGGAAGGGCGATTCCATCACATGCACGAAAACTCGGCAACGACGGTATGCTCGAAAGTACGGCGAATCCCTCTTGCTTTCAGTCAATCAATTGACCCAGACATGAACGCGAATATCGATCAGTCAATCCTTTTGCGTGCGTGCCGGGGGCGCTTCGGTAATAATGGACAACTGCAAGGAACGGTGAATGCAATGAACTGAATAATTCCGTTATCCGTTGCCATCCAGACGAGACGAAAGCGAGACTCCGTGCTGACCGCGCCCTTGCCCGCAGATCGCCCTCCCCAGCAACGGCGCCCGCCTGCTGATGGGCTCCAGCGGTCTCTGGGACCTCATCCACTGGGAGGAGGCCGCCCAGGTCACCCGCCGCACGCCCATCAAGCAGGCCGCCTCGCGCCTCATCCAGCTGGCCCTCCTCCAGAACAACTGGACTATCAGCCAGGACACCAGCGCCCTGGTGCTGGACGTGCTGCCCGGGCGGGGTGACTTTCCCAGCCTGGCGCGCGCCAAGGCCAGGAAGATGCGCGAGCGCGACGGCGGGGCCTTCTGCAGCGGGATCCGTTCGTGCCTGTGCGCTCGGCGCGACGGACAGCCACGGGTGGCAGGCCCAGATCCCGGCCGATGCGATGAACCGCTGATCATCGCCAACGAGGACGGAAGGAATGTTCTGAGCACGGCCAAGTCTGCGGCCGGCTGCCGGCACCGCTTGTCGGACAGCTTCTCCAGCCACGGCCACTGGGACGCCCCGAAGTGCGGGGGGGGGGGGGGCAGGGGCCCGTCGTTGGAAGGGCCCAGGGGCCCGCAGCGGCGGTCTGCCGGGTACTCCTACCCGGAGCGGGAGTCTCATGATGGGGGGGAAACGCGAGGCGCTAGGAGGAGGCGATCAAGTGTGGCATCTCGGTGCTCCCATGGCAGGAGAGTCTCCAGCGAAGATGGGAGAATTTTCATCGGTGGCAATCTGCAGGTCAGGCAAGGGGGGGCGGAAGAGATCGAGGGGGCCGGCGGGGGCGACCTGGCGCTGTTGGGTGGGCGGCAAAGGCGGGGCGAGAAGCAGTGGGGGGGGGGGAAGGGGAGGTCGGAAGATGGCTGTCAGGCAGGGTCGAGGCGGGCCTCAGGGTCCAAAGGTGGGGCCCGGGCCAGGGGGCCCGGGCGCCGCAGGTCGGGGTCCGGGGAGATGCCAGCGTGGGGCGCCCGGCGCGGGGGGGACGGGGGCGGCGGGACCGGGCTCAGGAAGGTGCCCTACACCATGGCGCCGGTGCAGGAAGCCGAGATGGACGGGCCGTCGCTTGGACGCGGCCGTTCGTCGCGTTCAGTCGCTGAGGGGTAGGTGATCACCTAGGGGTATCATCCCTAGGGGTAGGTGATCACCTTTGTCTGGCCAAAAAAGCTAGGGGTAGGTCACCATCTTTGCATATCCTCCTGAAGACATATTGGCGCGAGTGCGCCGCCGTTGGTGCGATGAAATGCACAGCTCGAACACCCCAATCGTCCCCATTCGTCCAATTTGGGCGAAGGTGGGGCTGTGCGTCTATTTTGAAGGGGCCGCCGAAAGGCCGGGCGCCTTGAGGCAGGGTGCGGGGTGGAATTTTTTCTGATCTTTTTTGGGAATTCAATTCGGCTGCCGACCGGGGGCGGCGCCGTCGCCTCGGGCGGGATCTGTGCCTGGGCGGGGATGCTGCAGGGTTTCCTGGAACGGTATAAAATGCATTGGAACTTCAATGGTAGTTGCATCATGCTGCCTGCGCCTCGTGCAGGCCGCCACCGCATGTACGTGCGTGCCGACGCCTAAATTCTGGGCCAGCACGATGCAGGCGCATTGCCAGAAATAAGACAAAACTGGGGCTGTTCTTGCACCAGCAGCCCCGACGATTTCCTTGGGCTCGAGAAATGCGGGGCGCAGGGCTCCTTCTCTGGTCAGGACTTCATCGACAACTCCATTGCCCTTGATCGTCGGAGCCGATGGATGCGGTGCCCCTCTTGGAGTGGAATGCTCAGGAAGTCGCCAACGTGTGCGCTTATTTTGAGCTGATGCACCTGGTGTCTTGACGCGTAGACATTGTTGAGATGGGCTTGCTTCCCGGTGGGTTGTGTGTGGTCACAAGGGCTGTCCAATAAATCAACGTTGCCCAGCTCAAGTCCCACCCGCCCAGCTTTTGCGTGAAGGAAGACCTGCGCAAAAAGCTGTTTTAACCGGGAGTCACCGATGGTGCTTGGTGGCGTGTGGGCGGGCTGGAGCAGAGTCCTAATTCTTGCTGTTGACGTTCGGGTAGCGACAGGAACGAGCGCGTCTCAAATGACGTCCGTTGCTGGGGGAATTTGTTTTTGAGAAGGGAACGCATGTGTCCATTCTCTGTTGCACGCCGTGGCTTGGGACCAAACCGCTGTTAGCCGAGTGGCGATTCAAGAAGACGCAGCTGGGACTTGGCAGCGGTAATCTTCTCGCTGGCACCTGAATTTTTTGTGCCGATAGGAAAAGGGGTTTAAATACTCGGGACGTATGTGACTGAGCAGAACTGCACGTGGATATTTGAATTTGAACGAGGGACATGGGTGATATTTGAGGGCATGAATAGCTCAAGGTCGGCACAGGGATGGGATCGGCCAGCACTCTAGAATTGTGTATAACAGAGTTCAGACGAGGGATATGAACCATCTGCGCCGGAACATGCGCACATGGCTAGAGGACTGCGGATGATTTCAGATGTGGGATGTGCGCACAATGATGTCAGTGCGCCCATGAGACCAGGGCATTATCGTGTGGCTCCCAGAATATCCTGCTGTGTTCACCTTGCCGTGGTGATTAGTGTGCGGGTTTGCACAAATGTGGGAGCGTCAGAATGTGCAATAAGCGAGTGTGAACCGTTAGTGGGGATACAAAATGCTGTTGAGAATTGCGGTAAAGGGACTCTATAGAACACGAGCGCCAGCTGTGACGTTAGGGAAATGGCGCACGGAGCCGCGGCTTTTCGAGTGTGCTTGTCCACGGCGCCCAGGTGTTGACTAGACGGTGACCTATTCTTTGACTCGAGTTGACAGAATTTTTACAGCCGGATCGTACCACCAACTTTTTCTGAATGACGGGAACTCCGTGCCACGGTGTATTTTGATGGGAGCGGTGATTCATCCAGACATTAATGCGCACATCTGGGAATTCGACCCACTGTATAGGATCTGTCCGATTTAATTCATACGACGTTTGTGGACGAAGCGAATGGGCGTTTGCATACCACAGGCCACTGCGTATTTCTGGTGCTCTTTTCTGGGGCACATACTTGGGTGCCTTGGGAGAGGCGTTTTGTTTTCTGGCGTTCACAGCGCTGCAGGAATGTTTCGTTTTGTGTCACTGGCGATTCTGCCGCTGCACCTTTCCCAACGCATGACAAACGAAATGTTCCTCCGCCTGAAAGGCGGAGACACGCGCAGCAGCACACAACCCTGCCTTTTGTCGGACCATCACGCTTTCGTCGGAATTGGCGAGGGACGGCAACCGATCACCGTTGCCTGCCTTGCCGTGCAGGAGAAATGTCCGCCAAAAGTCGCGCATTCGTCTCGCAATGCACGGCCGCCGAAGGGGGGATGCAGCCCCGAGCGCACCGCACCGGCGGCTCACAGACATTAATCACTCAGGGGCTTACGGAGCGCGCAGAGTAACTTCCGGCGAACCGTGAGTGATCGCCGTGAGGTCGGGCCGCCATCCCCTCCCCCGTTCCGTACACGTCATTCTACCGCATCCGTACCGTAAACGCACCAAGGCGCCTTGCAACTCCAAAACCTGGACACACATCACCCCCCACGACCCGTCCCCGTCTCACCACTCCGGCTGCCCCGTCCGTCGCCGGGCTTGCGCCGGCGCGCCTGTCAAGGGGCCCACGGGCCCATCTCACATTATCCTTTCCCCATCAGCTCTCCTTACTCCCCCTGTCCCGGACGTCATGGCACCCTTCCCCCCGCCCCCCTTTCCCCATATCGGCACCCGCCCTCTCCCTCCCGTCTCCCCCCCCTCCCGTGGCGCGTTGCGCCCTGGTGGCGCGACAAGGCACCCCCCCTGCCCCACCCCCCACCCACCCTCTAAACCCCTCAGCCGGAAAACTGCGGCGCGGATCGGAAGATGCACTCCGTGGGCAGCCAGTCGGACGTCCGGCAGGAAGACTGACCCGCGTGGCAGCCTCTTGGAGCCGACCCCCTTCCAAGCGGAGCAAAAGACGGCCGCATTGTTCACGCACCTGGCCCATTCAGGCTCCGGCATTGCCTTTCTGAGCCCCTAGGGATCTGGGTCGACCCTTGAGGCCCGCCTGGCGGGTGGGTTCGGGAGCAAGGGGGTGGGCAGATTTGGCCCCTGTCGCCAGGAGCCCCATATCGGCGGGCGTCGCCATGGCGGGCTTGAGGGGCAGCACGCGCCCCGCGGAGGCCCAGGAGGCTTCCGACGCATTGAAGGGGCGGAGGGCGGTCGCGGAGGCACTGGTGGCGCGGTACTCTGTGCGATCGGAGAGGCTCACGGACGAGGTGGGCGCCAGGGCAGTCGGCCGAAAGTAGGGCATGATTGGTAGTCGGGATCCCGACCGGCGCGCTTGGCCGCCTCCGCGCCCGTCCGTGTTGTTGAACACCGTCGCGGCCGCGCGATTGAGCGGCGGGCTCGCCCGGCGGTCCCCTGCTCGCCCGCCCTGCGCGCAGCGAGGGGGTGGCGCGGATGACGCAGACAGCAATTGGTTCCCCGGAAGCGTCGGCCCGCCACCCGGGGGGCCTTGCGGCACCCTTGGGGCCCCGACGCGATCGCCCCTTCCCCGGCCGTGGGCCCTTCGGTGGTGGCCTTACGCGCTGGCATAGCGGTGGGTGCAACCGGCCACCCAATCCCCCTTCCCTCCGCCCCTTGCCATTTCTTTCCCGCTATTGCGCATTATCCCCCCCCCCCTTCAAAATTAATCAGATCTCCGCTTGTTCAAAGAGCCATAAAAATGCGGGGAATCCGATTCCACTTCCCGGCTCTCTAACTTGATCCACATTTACGTCCCGCAGGACATTCTGCTGGTCCGGGAGGGCCTCAGGGTCTGCCCCGACGGCCCCGTCTGGTCCCTCTACTGCATCTGCGACGGCCACGCCGGCGCCGCGGCAGCCAAGTTCGTGAAGCGCTACCTGTGGAGGGCGCTGTGCCCGCGGCTGCCCACCGTGCGCCTGCCGGATGCGGGCTGCGAAGGTGAGGCTGCCCCACCCCCGATTGGCTTTGCCGGTTTGACGTTGATTGTTGGGGAGCGGGGCGCAGCGATCCCGGGAGCCTCCGCCTGTGTCTCTCGGTCCTCTGGGGCTCGGAAACCGAGTATATGTGGGTTGATAGTGGGAACCTTGGCGGGCAGTGGAAAGGCGTCCCCAGCCTGACGAACTCTGCTCTGCAAAGCCGGGGGGCCAAGGGAGGGCCAAGATGGGCCCGTCCATGTGTGGGTTTGTGTTGGTTTCGATTCGTTGCTGCCCCTGCGGGAGCAATGTACTGGTGGGCTGGGAGCGCGGAGCTCGGGTTGACGGTGTCTGGGAACAGTTGCTCAGCCACTCCCTTTTTGGTGGTCTGGTACTGGGGTTCAGGTTATGCAGACTGTTAAATAGACCCTGGGGAACAGCAGAGAAGTCAGGGTGAGCAATTGGATGCCCAAGTTGAATTGACCTCTATCTGAGTACTTTGGCACTGATGCTGGTCTGGTTACTGGCACCGAGGGCGCCGTTCAGTAGCATTTGGTTGCTGTCAAAAATTGCCAGACGCTGCCCCAAGTGAGGTTGCTTTCCTGAATTTTCGTCAAAAAGATTTCCTACATGGCAACTTCAAGCCGGGGTCCTGTGTGGCAAACTTCCCTCGTTCTGTCATTCCTAAATTCTAGACACCTCGATATGTGTCTAGACTAAAATTTGCACTTCTGGGGAATATTGTTAAGCTGTTGCCAACAAATTCAGCGAAACTGAATTTGCATGAATTCATGTCTTATTCCAATTTCTCTTTGGAGGTCCTGCCCTTTCAAAATATACCTCTGGAGGCGGTGTGCACAGTGTGCGTGCACGCCCATGGCTGCATTCCTGCAGGTGCCCAAACAATTTCGAAGTTGATTGGTGGCGCACCAGAGGGGCAGAAACTAAAGTCGTTTGACAGCGCTGCAGCTTATCATAAATTCGCAACTGAAGTGAGAAGCGCCATGGTGAACGCTTTCGTCAAGCTCGATGAAGATTTCGTGGCGAAGTTCGCATCCAGCGATTCTGGTGGGTGGTGCCCAATGTCCCAGGTGTCTCTGATTCCCACTGCCCAAACGTCTCTTCACCTCTTGTCAGGACACCTCACTGCATAATGGCCCTAAGAATGCGTTGGCGGTTTTGCTTTGATTCATCATCTAATGTAGAATGCGCGTGCTCAGTTGTGGAGCTGAAAAAGTAATGCTAACATATGCTTTAATTGCATACCTGTTGAACAAGTTGTACGGATTCCATACTACGGAAGCGTTCGACAATGTTTTGGCAGTGTTGGGCCACGCTGGCCAGCAAAGCGGCCATTCATTGCCAAGAAAGCTTTACACACTTCCGAAATGAAAAAATTCACACAATTCAAAGCCGTACGAAAATTTCGCACAAGCCTTTTTCTTGTTCCGTTCGCGAAACTGCTAGAGAATCGCGACCCCTCCGAGTTGGAATTTCGACCCCAACCGACGCTGTTTGTGCGCCCAACCAGGCGCCGCCGTGACGACCGCCCTGCTGTGCGAGTCCCTGCTGACGGTGGCGAACGTGGGCGACGCCGACGCCGTGCTGGACACCGGCGCCGATGCCCTCCTGGCCACCGTCAACCACCGCATCGAGTCCAACGACGTGGAGCGCGAGCGGCTGCTGGACGGCGGGGCGCTGCTGGCGCCCATGGCGCGCTCGCTGACGGGGCCCTGCGAGTCCAAGGACCATAGCGTGGGCCCCGTGCGGTGCTGGCCGGGGGGCATGGCGGTCGCCAGGTCGGTGGGTGACGTCAAAGGGGGCAAGAACGTCATCCCGTGCCCGCACGTCTTCCAGGTGCGCGGAGGGGGCCGCGGCCGGGCCCGGGTGGCGGGAGTGGGTTGCTATACGGTCTTTGGGCAGAGCCCCGACCTCGGCTACGGTCTGGTGTTTTCATTTCTGTTTTTATTGTTGTTGGGAGGTGGCGGCAGACTGGGCCAGTAATTGGATACCTTGCAGCTGTATTCGAATGCATGAAGCCTGAAACGGATATGCTGAAAATGTTGGAATCAAACAAACTGTACATCCATGTTCGGTTTGGCTTCTGTGTTGCCCGGCGAAATGATTCAACTTGGTTCTCTTGGGGGGTTGTTCCTTGCATGCAAGCATTGAATGCTCCACTGTCAATTGCCCGTTTCTGCGCAGGCGTTTGAGAATCAGCGAAACAGAAGCGGGCCAAAGCCCATCCGCAAAATGGACACGGAATCGGCGAATGCACCGATCTAGACACGCCGTTTCCTGTGACTCCCCGCATCGCAGTGCCAAAGCACTTTTTGCATCTGTTTTCGCTCGCCAACTGGCACAGACTCTTCTTTTGATGTACTGTCATCGACGAACGCTTTTTGGCATCAGGAGGTCATACATTCCTAGGCTTTGTTTGTGTCATACACTAGATTCTAATGAACTGATCATAGACACCACTTTGCTCGGGCAAAATAGGAAGCTGATGACTACCTCATTGCCTTGCTATGTAGAAATAATGATGTTGATTCCCCATTCAGAAGCTCCATTCCTTTCCCCTGCCGTCCAGATCACCCTGCCCCAGTGCGGTGGGCGCCTCCTGATGGGCTCCAGCGGACTGTGGGACCTCATTCACTGGAAAGAAGCTACCCACAGCACACGCGCCACGCCCACCAAAGAGGCCGCATCCCGGGTCGTCACCCTGGCCCTCCTGGAGAACAACTGGTCCCTGCACCAGGACGCCAGCGCCCTGGTCGTCGACATCCTCCCCCCCGCGGGTGGCGACTTCCCCAGGCTCGTCAGGGCCAGCGCCCGCCAGCGGCGGAGGCGGAACAGGCCCACGAGCTGGTGCGGCCTGCAGCTGATCCTGGAGGGCATCGTGCACCGGCTCTGCAGGCCGGACGACATTCCGTCGGGCGGGGGCTTCAAAGTTGTCGCCAACATCGACGGAAGGGTGATGCTGAGGGTAGAGCGGGAGGCGTCCATCAGCGACTCCTGCTCCAGCCACTGGGTGGCCCGGACGGGGCGCAAGGCTGGGTGGAAGTCCTCTACCGGGGAGCAGCGGCGGTCGGCGGGGTACTCGGAGCGCGGCTCGGAGCGCTCGTACACGGAGCGCGGCTCCGTGGAGACGACGACGTCCTCGTCGCGGACAAACCGACGGACGGAAGACAGCCGGTCGTCGAGCACGTCGACGTCGGAGGAGGAGGCGGGAGGCAGGGAGAGACGGGCGGGTTGCTACGGCTGCGGGTGGTCGGGGAAAAGGGGGGGGACGGAGGGAGACAGGCTGCACAGCGGGGATGCAGGCCGGCTGCTGGCCGGCTCAGAGGCGGCCGCGCTCAAGAGGGTGTCGGCCAGCAGCGTGTCGTTCGAGAGCCAGCTGTTGCCTCTCGGGGAGGGCGGCCCGGAGGAGGGGCTCAGAGAGAAGGGGTCGTCATTTGGGGAGCAGTCCAGCACATCGCGAGACGTCTGGAGGAGCGCGTTCTCGAATCAGGTGTCCCGGAGGGGGATCCGGCCCATGGAAATCGTACCCGGGGGCCGCGGCTCCACAGACTGAGGCAACTGCGCCGCCCATTGGCGTCGCCACTTTCGGTGCATTAGACAGGGCGCTGTGTCATCTATCCCCCAAAATATGGCACCGTATATTGGTTCACCAGTACACTGCCCCAAAATCGAACATAAGCTCCAGAACTTCGGACGCCAATCTGGGACCGGGTCATAAAGATTGCGTGCTGGGCCCCGCGGTGGCGCCGTCCCCACCAGCAGCCCGAAATGGCGCCAGTCGACTTGAGGGGCTGTGGGTCTGTCGGCCCAGCAGGGGCCGAGAGGGATTGTGGCAGCCGTGGCTGGACGCTGCTGTGAGCCCTCCGTGGGCTGGCGCCCTTGCATGCAATAATGTGAGGCACAAGATGCTGGCATGAATGGCGAGGCAGGAGAATCTACACACATAAGTAGTTGCATTGAGACCTGCGGCTCAAGGGGGCGCTGGCTACTGGCGTTGCAGAGCTTGACAGGGAGTGCGGTTCGGCTGAGGGGCCGTTGCACACCGTCATCAGGGCTTGAGAGTCGAATTCGAAGAGGTGAAGTGGGCTCCAATTGTGTCGCCGCGAGACAAATGATTCCACCCATTCCTGTCTTGTCGGCTCTTGTGTTGTCGGATGTCTGCCAGCCCAACTAGGCTTCGGTGGAGACAGCATTGGCAAGGCGTGGTGAATGGGAAAATGCGTGAGGGGTGTGGCGAAATGGGATTGTCTCGCATTCGCTCGCACTTCATCAATTGGCCCATTGTCGATATGCAGCATCTTCAATTGTCGCAGAGCCGCACGCCCAGCGCATGGCAACGGCATGTCATGAGTCGGTGTTTCTTGGGCAAGGATTATTTTTCAGTCCTGCTCCCAAGGCAATAACTGGGAGCGAATTGGATGCAATGGCACAGTTGCGGGTGGCGCAGAGAGGAGCCAGCCCCGCGGTAGCCATGGGCGGGAGAATGAAGGCGGAAGGCCCTGGTCGTCTCAATATTAGACCCTTCATGCGGCACTGGACGTCTGATAGCTTGACACTTAGGTTTGTTTCGTTTGGTGACCAACGTTGTCTGTCTATTGAGAGTGGAATGGGGGGCGAAGTTCCTGATTGTGGTAGAAAACTGTCCAGCGAATTCAACCATCGAATGTTAGAATCATGTTGCAAATGCAAAACTAGGTAGTCCGAATGCAGCCTATTATGCAGGATACTCCTTTGTAATTTATGGCCAGGCTGGTGGTTCAGCCTGTCAATTCAATGCGAGTTGCTGACTCCTTGAAGTGTACCAGAACGTGGTTAAGAGGGCCGTGGCCCGATTTTTCGAATATCTGGACATTTGTGCCCTTTACAAAGGACAGTGGACCCACGTCGGCTTGTTCATGCATCTCTCTCATCAACTGTAGAGATAGCCTTCAAATGTGGTGTCCAGTTTCTGTGAAAGTAGAAGCACTAACGAGTTGAAGATCTCTCGTGTGGTATCTTTGTGACTGCTGAAGACCCACTGCTTGGCAGTGATCACGCGTCCAGTTCTGGATGAGTATCAACCCTTCGCTTTGGGGAACAATGCGTGAGGGCAGTGAGGGTACACCTGATCAGCAAAATCAATTAGCCCGTTATGAGGCTCTTGAAATGCGACTGGGAAACTCCCTTTCAGAATACAGAGCTGAAGTTGAGGCAATCGCAATTCTTTGCCGCCTGAGACCATGCGCGGCAGTTCACTGGACGCCCTGATGTCCCAAACAGAAACGTCTAAAATTGTGCACCGCCATCACCCTTGTCTGCTCGCCGTGATTGGTGGCTGGAAATGGCGCTGTCGAGTCTGCCTTCTTCAGGAATATTCCTTTTCTTGAATAGCGGGCTGCGTCTCGTGCGGCTTCCTGGCCTTGCTGCCTATCCGCTGGCCCGCTCCACTATTTCAACTCAACTATGTCTTTACCTCCATCATCGCGCATCGGCACATTCGATCCCGCAGATGTCGCCATGGCGATGTCAGTGGAAGTTTCGTCCACCACAAAGACTGTGGCAAAGGCCTCGACGGTCGACCACACTGAGGGGGAGCTCACGAACGCTTCCTTGGACATCGCCACAGGCGTCGTACAGGCACTCCCGCAGCATCCCTTCTTCCCGTTGCCTTGTAAACAGATGTTCCTATAGACAGGACATCAGAACGAGCATCCGATACACACTGACGAAATGCGCAGAGCACACAATTTGTTCATGCACATGTCATGTGCTGTCCTTTAATATGCATGGCTCTTAGGGGGGCGACTGGCTGCAAGCCAAACAGAGTTCCTTCACAGCAATTCAGACAACCATCTTGGTGCAGACAGCCTCGGGGCTGTCTAGAGCTCCAGACCGGCAGCAGATAAAGGTGACAACGCTATCTCCAATTCCTTCATTCACAGTACTGCTTGCGGCATCCACAACTCTCCAAGAAACAAAACAGGGAAGAGGCTCAGCTTAGGGCGAGAATGGCTCTCGCCTCTAGAGAAGTTGCATGCCTGGATATCGTGGATCTGTGGCACAGAAATTTGGGGCGCGGGACGCCCATACGGCGTCCTGCGCGTTCCCCTAAGCCCCCAACCTATGCCCACGCAATGGGTGGAATCGCACATGTGGCATCCCGTTGCGAGTTGCCGGGGAGTTCCCTCGTTTTCACACATATGTAATACATTTGGAATTAATATATATATATATATATATATATATATATATTGTTAATTCAAATGTATTATGTCTGAGGAACTCAACAACATAAATGGGATCAGCCTTTTCCAACAGGAGCCAATGTAGGATCCCAAACAAAAGGAGAGCAAGATGCTAGCATTGTTCGTAGAGGCCAGAATATTCTTGCAGGGGAGTCCCAAGCAGCAGGGCAGAATGTTCAGTCAAAAGGAGAATGCATCGGGGCATGTCCCAAATATCCCAGAATATCCCAGAATATCCCAGAATATCCCAGAATGTCCCAAGTTGTCCCAGGCTGTCCCAAAATCTCCTAGAGTGCACCAGAGTGTCCCATATCCCATGCCCTGTCTGACTTCCAGCGTTGATCTTTCCCAGTCTCGACAAACAATAACCTCTCTCAATGGGAAAGACCAAACAATCAATACATAGTGGTCCTTCGAAAAGCCCTCAGGAAACGAACCAAGAATAGGCGTCCCTTCTAGGGCGGGGGAGTAGTGTTACGGTCCAGGCCGTGAGGCCTAGTGGGAGTAGCCAAGTGCGGCAAATAGGGTATAAATACCCATGGGAGAACTCTAGTACAAGGGTGCTGATAAGGCATTGTGGCGAACGCCAAAACCGGTCCACCTTGCCTTGAGTTGGAACCTTGCCTAAGGTAGATTGTTCCACTAAGCGGTTTTTCTACGGGAAGCCTAAAGTACTGGTGTCCCAACCCACCAAGGACGAAAGCATAACAAATTGGTTTCGGAGCAAGGATCCCCCCCTTAGGGTGTCTCTCGAGTGGAACGAGGACGTTCCCTGCATGGAGAGGGGGGGTAGAAGTGATATGGAAGGTATAATACCTTGAGTCCAAGGTGCCAAGCAAGGCCACTGACGACTCGTCAGTGACGAGTCCTGGTGGCACAGGACGAAACCGGTTTGGCTGGCCATGGTGACCCTGTGTTCAAATCCCGGTCCGAGCGGTTCTTCGGCTGGGTCCATATCAAATATGATTTGATGGGAGTATAAGAAGGTTTACAAGAATATAGACAACTAGGGTGAAGTTGCTCTCTTTTAATGAGCTAGTTCACCCTACATTGCAAACTAAAGGGATTTCATTTGAGTATATTAATTTGAGCTCTGACAATAAAGGAGAATCAAATGATAAGAGTGATATTGATATGATTCACTCAAAAAGGGAATACACTAGGGAATTCTGGGGAATATTTAGATGGTGGGTGACAACCCCATGGACTACAAATAGGGGAGCAGTGCCCCACTTTGTCGCCAACACAACTGACCCAAAGTTTGTCATAAAGAACCAACTAGATAATTATTATAATAATTAATTAATTTAGGTCCAACATTGAGTGCAAGTAAGAAAACGTGGAGGATTGTTCTGAGTGGCCGCAAGTGTGTTGAATGTGCATGTATATGAATTAGAGGTGGCCCATCTGTCCATCCCCAACAGAATTTGTTTGGCTCCGTTAAAATTCTGTACAATCAACAGAATTTATGAGGGAGCCACAGAGAAAAAAGCGTTTTACAGAAACGGGTAGGGCCATACTGACATCAGCATAGACAATTACAGAAATCCACACAACCTTACAGAATGGAACCACGTGTTGCAGAATTTGCGCCGCCGTCTACGGATGATAGGCACCCGCAACAGAACCACTGACCGGACCACAAAGGTCGACAGAATTCCATAAAAGATCGATGGCAATCGCTGCCAGGAAGGGCCCGCACTTATGATTTATAGTATGCCGTGATGATGTGTTCTGTGTGTGTGCTGCCTCCGGCCAAGTACCGGCAGCGATCGCTGCTGGGAAGGGCCCACACTTATGATTTATAGTACGCCGTGATAATGTGTTCTGTGTGTGTGCTGCCTCCAGCCAAGTACTGGCAGCGATCGCTGCCGGGAAGGGCCCGCACTTATGATTTATAGTATGCCATGATGATGTGTCCTGTGTGTGTGCTGCCTATGGCCGAGTACCGGCAGCGATCACTGCCGGGAAGGGCCTGAGCTAAGTATTAATAATTAACCAATCCAGTCAATTGAAGAATGGAAAATAGCTGAATAGCATGTCGGGTGGCACTCTGTCAAGGCACATCCAGCTTTCTTGGGCGTCATGACCACGCCTCTATTCGCGACAAGCTTCCAGAATCTCAAAGCCCGTGACGGATGGCAACGGAATGCCAAGAAAGGCAACGGAAAAAAAACATCTTTACAGAAATTGGTGGCTGCAAACACCCCCTTGACGGACAGCTCCAGAGCCAAAAAACTGGAAGCTGACATGGCATGAACGGCTACAGAAAACCGGCCCCGGCAAAACAACAGAAAAGTGACGGACGGATTTTTTGTCTTGAAAAAAAGTACGGACAGAAAATAACAGAAAAAAATCTGAGCGGCCACGTCTAATATGAATTGTGGATGAAAAACAACTCCATTATGTGAACATTTCAAGATACTAAAGATGTGTCTTATTGGGAACACCTGTGGGGCCCAAAGCATATTCAAAATATTGATATTTTTAATGTGTCCTATTGGGAAAACTTGCAGAACCCCAAGCGTAACTAAACAGTAGTTGCGTATTATATAATAGAGTGAGAAGCCTATAGGGCCCCAGCAAAGCACCTGATACAATAACCTTAGTGATATAAGGTGCCCACCCTCTTTAAACTACGGTCCGTGGCCCACGGACCCACCTCGCCAGGTACCAAGGTCCTTACGGGGACCTTAGGGAGTCCACCTCTGCCTACTTCTAAATTATATATTAGTATAGTATCCAATTTGGGATCTGTTACTGTATCTTGGGTAGGGCATCCCCCACACCAAGAGACCATGAGTAAGGCATCCCATACATCAGGCCTATATGCATAACATTTGTCCCCCTTAGGGAGGTGGGACATCCCCGTCCCAGTGCATAGATATGGGGGGTTAGATACATGCGTAGCTACTAAGCCTACCATATATAGAGACTGGTTGTGTATCTCGTCACATGCCTAGTCAACCAAGTATTGTGGATAAGATATGTATTGAAGAGAAAGGGTGGTTATTACATAGAGAATGTTCTTGCTTACAACCCTCATTAAAAACTTCCTTTAGTTTACGGGCTGGAAAATCACTGCTACTTTGTAATGCACAACTCTCTATTCTATGGCCCCCCGGCCTGCGCATGTCCACGGAATGTTCATGACATATAGGGATCACCCTACACGTCCCCATATATGATATGACGTGGCTGCTTGGGGTTAGGCAGTTATTGACGTTTTCTGAAGTGGTATTTGTGTAATTAGGGTATCGACCTTGGGGGTGTTATTTAAAGCTTTCTAGTTCCAACGCGCTTTTAAACGCCCAAATCCATTAAGAAACGGCGAAGATATGGCCCTCTGAAATCGTAGTATTTAGGGGCAGGGGGTCGGGTGTTAGATGCTTGGAATTAGAGGGCAATGAATCGATCGTAGTTGAATGGTGGACGGTGGCGATGTGCCTGGACGTGCACTTGTGTTGTCTTGTCTTGATGTGACTGCAATGGACCCGCGATCGGGCATCGCGCATGCAATATGTGCGCGCGCATGCTCTAAATCTATGTAACCGTTCTGGCCCACTCTCTGGCCTCCCATCAGCCAGTGAACCACCTAACCGCTGTGCCACCACCTCTCGCCAACAGCAGGCCCCGGGGATCGATCCCCGTCGAGCATTGGGCCCACCACGCGACCAAAGGAGCGACTGTCCTGGAGACGCCCACCATCCAAGGTGGAGAGGGCCAGTGTTACGGTCCAGGCCATGAGGCCTAGTGGGAGCAGCCACATATGGCAAAAACGGTATAAATACCCATGAGAGAATTCCAATATGAGGGTGCTAGTAAGGCGTTGTGGTGAACGCCGAAACCGGTCCACCTTGCCACCTTGCCATGAGTTCGAACCCTGCCTAAGGCAAATTGTTCCACCAGGGGGTTTTCTATAGAAAGCCTAAAGTACTAGTGTCCTGACCCACCAAGGACGAAAGTGTAACAACCAACTAACCTCCAATAGCCAAGTTGCAGGGCAGGGCGACCCCAACGCCTCTAGAAACCAGCGGCTGCCGATGGGGCCGCAACATATGACCACCTCGGACCATCCGTCCACGACCCCAACCCTTCCGGATGTAACCCGGGTCTCTGCCTCTACCACACCCATGGGCCGTGGCTGACACAAACAAGTCATCACTTTGTATCCTCTTACCACTCACAATGGCGATGGATATAGCATTCGTATGTCTAAACTGTGAATGAGACCAGTTTCCTTGGTAACCGGTGTTCTTCTGCACCCACAGTAGGAGTGCCTATCACACACAAGAGTACAGATATGCTCACATCCCACAAATCTAATAATACTATAAGTGCCCAATATAAGTGCCCTATAGGGTGAGTGATGCTAATCATGTTTCTGTCCCCATATTCTATTTGTCAATTAATTTGATTAGTGTTTTTGGGCTACAACTGCACACTACTACCCTTATAAACATATATTTCATTTTGTTTTGCTTATAACATCTTCTACATGTCTTGCTGCTATCTTAGATCGAGGCAGGTTTATTAGCGTGCTTTTCTCGCTTTTCTAGCAATGTTGTATAGTTGTCCACGTCAATCCTGATTGGTCTATGGTGTTGTGACACCCAGTCAGTCGCCATATGCTAGTCATGAGCCAATCATTGAGTGACATGGCTTCATGACTAACAGTGAATTTAACAGAGTGTAGAGAGCATGAGGCTACACTCTCATGATACGGTTTGTGCACCAATGGCCACAACGCATTTGGTTTTTTCCTCTTGCCCTGTTGTGATTATCCGCCTCTTAAAGTGGGTTGTGTTAGTTTTGATTAAGTGATGACCTATAAAGCGCCAAATGCAGCGATGCTGCATTAGGCATGGCATTGTAGCTTATCATTTACCTCTTAACTACTGATAAAGTTTCGATCATTTTACACAATGTACAATCGTGTAAAAATTGGGTTATTCGAAGCCGGATTTTACATGATTGCCAAAATCGTGTAATTTTTATCCCTATGTAGTATACAGAAGTGCCCCTCCTTACCACCATGGACAACACGATAATAGAGGTGGCCACCCGGATCCGTTAATAGCGGACAGAGGTTAATTTCCGTTAATTTTCCGTTAATTAACGGAAAATAACGAAAAAAGACAAAAATTAACCAAAAATTAACGGATTGTTGGATTTTTTGGGATTTTTGGGTTTTAGTCATACTTGTAGTTTATGGAATTCGCTATTAGAGAGTATGTTTGTATTTTATTTCAACCTATGCATACTAGATTTTCAACCAGCCGCACTTGTTGTGATTTTTTGGGGTCTTTTTCGATTTTTTTAGATTTTTTTCGTTTTTTCTGAATTTTTCTCCCTTTTTCTTTAACGAAATTTAACGGACAGCTGATAAAAATTAACGAACCGGACTTAACGGACCGGATGGCATCTTTGAGTGGCCACCTCTACACGATAAAGAACACGGTTTTACATGACTTAAACTATGTATCAGTGGCAGCTGTGTATTTTGTGATCAATACACGAATGGTACACGACTTTCACATGCATAATATCATATATGATTTTCAGGATCATGTACTTTGGCTAATTTTTACTAGAGAACTGGAGCAACATTGCAGCAATTGACTCAACTGTTAATTGATCAAATATCCGATGTTTGATCTGGTGAATGTGAAGATGTGCTTATAGTATTGCTGCTCAACAACCGGCTACATTGCTACTGGATGCTACATCGGCTTAGGGTAAACGTTCGTAGGTATGTGGAGCCCCAGGTTTAAGCCCTGAGAAACTGCAAAAAGCGCTGGTGGCAACGGGCATCAGGCATTGCCAACGCGGTTGTGCCTGTTTCGCTGCAATGTGGCTCATTTCATGCATCACGCATTGCAGGCCTCATCGCTGCCACAAGGCTCGCCTCTGTGCGATTCTCGCACTGGCATCAGCAGCGGTCACGAATGGATACATCCGATGCTGCAACGATTACAAACAATGGCTCAAGGTGGCGGCACATACCCTACCTACCGTACCTCCTGCAGTACGTCCTTTTGCCCCCTGCCGGCGTGCAAACTCGTTCTCTGGCGACACTCGGCCTCAAGCTCCGAGGGGCCCCTTCCTTTCAACCTCGGCGCCAGTTGCAATACTCTTCTTGGGGCTCCCTCAGCCTAAATGCCTGTGGGAAAACTGGCGTTTGGTCACTGTTGAAACGCGAGCGGCAGGCCCGACGAGAACAAGGAGCGCCACATGCCCACTGACATCGGCCCCTGTGGCACTGTTTACACGTCACGGGTCTACGTAGCGTCGCGCGTCGTGTCGCGTCGCACATCGCATCGGGACTCATTAGTCATTTAGCACCCGCGACGTTGGGATTGGGCGGTCCAGCGGAACTGCCATGGCGCGCCTCCGCCAAGCACATGCTTTCCGACCCTGCGTGCTGCCGCATTGACATCGCACGGGAACGGCAGCTACGCGGGTGTGTGTGGACGTTGGGCATCGGCGATCCGCAGGACGGTAAGCGTGGGAGGACCCCTTGTCAACAAGGGGGGGACGGTGTGCGCCGCGATTATGGCGCAGACGGACGCCGGGAGACCTGATGGCAGCAGCACGTCACGGGATCCGGTAGGAGAGGCACACGGCGGGAGCCCCCGCCGTCCCGTAGGACCACCTGGGATGACCGAACCATGCTGTCTCGCCCTTGGGCTGGCGAAATTGGAGGTGTGCTGCGTGGGAAGGTGGTGGAGGCCACCGGGGAGACTCTTGCGCCTGGAAAGACCGATGCTAATCACTGCCAGACAATTTGCTGTCGCACGCCGTGTTCTGTTCGTTGTGAACTCCTAAGAATTGCCTGTGGATTGCTGGCTGGATTCACGCAGGAACCACGCCATGCAAGCATTTTGCTGCACCCTGGCGTGTACCACACAAGGCTGCGAATTGGGCTCGTGTTTAGCAATAACTGGGACTCTCAACGTTGAACTTGTGTATGTCTGCTGTGGCGCCATCATGGCCTTACGGGCCGGTACCGCAAACGTACATCTGGCAACATGTGGCCGGTTGCGACCGCACCCGTATCTTTGGCCCGCTCGCTAAGTGGCCCGCGGGGGCATAGTCACCGGCTCCCGGCCCCGGGCGGTACCACAGCGGTACACCACGTGTGCCATGATCCCCTTCTGCACCTCCAACGCCCCACTGGGCGCGCGTGATCGCAACGACCAGGAGGCAAAAGGGCTGACCCGATATCACCAGCCAAAAAAGCGGGCGTCGAGCGGCCAGTGACTAAGCCACGCCAACAACGCCCCCAACATCGGGGTTGGCGGCCGGCCAGGGGGAGTGTCGCCAGTGGCCACTGCTCTCCCCCACCCTCCCGCAGGGACAAGCTCGGTCCCCTAAAGCCACACTCTACTCACCCGGGGGCCCGTTTTCCCCGAGGCGCGCAGCGCTACGCGTTGAGAGAGGGTTTCTCCTGGCCTGGGGGGTTGTATGCCCCCGCCGATAGGGCGTACCGTGTCGGCTCGCCGATCGCCGCATCCTCCCTCCACCCCCGGCCGTGGCCGGCGCTGACGGTCCGGGCGGCCGCCCGGCAGGGCCCCGCGGGCCCCGGGGTGCCCGGGCGCCCTGCGCGGCGGCATGGGCGGGGCCGCCGGCGCCCGGGGCAGTGTGGAGTTCAGGTCGCTGCCGCCGGGCGGCGGGCCTGGCCCGCAGCGGCGCCCGGAGGGCCCCGCCACCAAGTTCTCGGCCTGCCAGAGGCTGCTGCAGGACGAGGTGCGGCGCCGGCGATGCCCATCTCGGATCTCTCCCGCCCCCTCCCCGTGGGAGCGAAAAATCATCAGATCCTCCCCGCGCGGGTCGCGCTCCGGAACGCGCCCCCGGCGTCGCGGTTGGGGTCCCTCTCGACGGCCTCGGCGCGGCGCAGCCGGCCGGATGGGCACGCTCGCCGGTCCCCCACCCCCTCCCACCCCGTTCTCCGGTGCCCGTGGCGCGGCGGGTGGCCGGGTCAGACTGACCCACCGGGGCACTGGCCAGGCCAGGCCCCCGGCCAGTACGGGCCCCACCGCGTCGGACGCCCGGCGTTACTCACCGCCGGGCGCCGTGGCCCCCGCCCGGCCGCGACGGCCGTGCCGCGCCGAGGCTCAGTCTGACCGCCGCTTTCTACCACCCCGTCGAATGTTCTTTCCCACCGGCCGGCCGATCTGCAGCGTGGGCGCGGCGAATGGAGCGCGAAGATCTGGAGATCGCGGCGGGCGGGAGTTTTGTCCCCTGGGCCTCTGTTTTCTTGTCCCTTAATCCCCCTTTCCCCGCTGCCTGTTGATCTGCTCGATTGAAGGGCCGGCGTGTGTGGCGCGCAGGACGTGGTTTTCGTCCATGAGCGGCTGCGCAATGGCAAGTCCGGCCCCGCGTGGTCACTCTACTGCGTGTGCGACGGCCATGGCGGCACCGAGGCGGCGAACCACGTGCGGGCGCGCCTCTGGAAGACGCTGGGCCCGCGGCTGCCCGAGTCGCCGCTGCCGGAGATGGACAGCCCAGGTGATTGTCCGGGGCAGGCAAGCCCCCGCGCACGGCCTCGTGAGGACTCCGGTGGCAGAACCTCGGAGCGGTGCTGATGTTGGCGCGTACCACGTTACGAATGTACGAAGGCCAAGCTGTGCCGTACTGCGGCGTGGGCGGCCGCGGTTGAGATGCTGCAGTGATTGATGGAAAGTGCGCCAGATGAATCCCGGGAACGAGGAGCCGGCCTTCGCCACTGAGCCGTAACTGTACCGCTGCCTGGGCGCTGTGGGCTCCATGGCGTCACGGTCAACGTAACGCCATGTACCTTATCGGACGCAGAGATACGACCGGGATTTGCACGGATTTTACCGGGATTGTCACAGCTGTTGCCGGGATTATGCATCAAGTCGCGACTGTGGGTGATGGACGGGAAGGGGCGATCGGAGTTGGTGGTGAGGTGGTGTGTGGTTGCATGTGCTTGCACCCGTCATTGTCAGTCCCCCGCAATCGAAATTTGGTTTAGTCTGCCTTCGTATGGCGTAACAAATGTGGGGTACTGGCGCCTTAGAAGGAGATGACGCGCATAAAACGAGTCAAGACTGCTTTTAGCCAGTTGTCTAAGGCATCCATGTGCGCAGCTCATGCGTGTGCATGAGGGCGTCAGATGCAGCGGGCGCACTGCCTTTCCGCACATGATTGTTTCTCGCTGTGACGCAGACTTTGAACAATTCGCACTGAAAATCAGGACGGCGATGGTCAACACTTTTGTCAAGATCGGCGAAAAGTTCGTCATCGAGACGTGCGAAGATAAATCCGGTGAGTTGGTGCTCATGCGCTGCAGCGTCGTGGATGTCTGTTCACTGTCTCATTCAAAGCCAAGTCGTGCGAATGGCGGATACCAGTTGGTGCGGGTGTCCTGCTCCCGGCAGTTGTGGCATTACAGCGCCATCAAGAGGCGTCGTCGTGCTTCTGTGATTTATTGTGGCAAATGCAGCCAAATGTTGCCACTCGAAGAAAACGGGCAGGAGAAAACGAGTGACGACGAAATAAGGCCTGACCGCAGTTCCCTTCTGTTAACGCCTGCTGCTGTGTTTAGAAATGTTGTCAATAATCAGTCGATACAAAAATTGATTGATCAATCAATTGCTTGATTAAGCGTTGGATGGATGGACGGATTGATCTATTGTAGATTGATCGATTGGTTACAAAGCATGAGGAAGCGTTGTCCACGCACCTCTCTGTGCAGGCGCAGCCATGACCGTCACCCTACTGTGTGGCCGTCTGCTGACCGTGGCGAACGTGGGAGATGCAGACGCAGTGGTGGACACCGGCACGGAGTCCTTCATGGCGACCGTGAACCACAGCATCCAGTCCAACGAGGCCGAGCGCAAGCGACTGGCTGCGGCTGGCGCCCACCTGGCGTCTGCTGCTCCTTCAGACACTACCAGACCAGCGGGACCAGAGGAGGAGGGCCAGGGTCCCATCAGATGCTGGCCGGGAGGCTCGACGCTTTCCAGGTCCATTGGAGACGTCGAGGCTGGGGAGCACGTCCTTGCTTGTCCGCACGTCTTTCAGGTTTGTCAAGCTCTCCAATGGACCAAGTGCGCAGTGCATTTGCCATCACTGCATACAGAAACAGCATTGCAGAAGGGGGTTACACCAGCAGAAAACAGCATTCTTGCGATGCCAACTGCGATGCAGGTTGACACAAAATGATGCCGTCTCAGCCATTTTGACGCCATCACGATCACTATGATGGCACCATTTTGTGTCAAACGGCATCGCAGTTGGCATCGCAAACATGCTGTTTTCTGCCAGTGGTAGCCATCATCCTGCTGTCCTTTCACCATTAGCCCGAGGAGACATGCAAGCAACAGTTTGCCCATTTACACGGCATTTACTTGTGTTTAAAATGTGTTAGAATCGGAACAAGTTCTGTGTTTGTTGGGGGAAGCTTGCACCTGTGGTGGAATCCCGTCTTTGCCCTACTGGTGCGCTGATGACTCCAACATGCACGGTGTTGTTCATTGTCGCACTGTTCCGCACAGAATGCCATGACCACTATCAATTCAGTTGTGCAGCGCCCCGTTGGACGGATGTGTCGCCCACGCGATCGTTCATTGTTGATTGCACGTTGTCAAGAACATTCTTTGGGTGGAGCCGAGTGCCTTGATTGCCTGCTGCTCGTATAGCATGTGTGCCATGGCATGAGTGATGGAGGGAGGCGCTCTAAGGGATGCGCTCCGAGTGGTGCTTGGCGATGGCACTGTGTGTTGGTGCCGAAACACCCCTCTTTGCATACATGATGCAGAAACTCGCAGGCCGGGCAGTTGCTTAAAAATTGAAGAGATACCACAGCAGAAAGCATGCAACCTCCGGGGTGGGTCGAAACGCCAGGGCTGGAAAAACTCTCTCTTGTGCAGCTGCTTAAATCGCCCTGCGCAGCCTTTTATCTGGTCGCAAATTGTTGTGGACAATTTTTTTTGGGAGTAGAATGGTGAACTTCCCCCGCTCCACAGAACGGACAGCATCCCTTGTTTGACAGAAAGCGACGTAGGGAATTTGGCTGTGCATGATAGAGTTTCCATTGCCATGCCATCGGGAATGCCCTTTGTGTGACCTGTCCACAATTCCTGTTGTTGTACATTTTAGCGGTGGACACTGTTTGCTGAGTGTGCAAGCTCCTTATCACCAGGTGAATCACCTGGTCCTGGCTTTGGGGTTTGGGTGCACCGACCAGTGCAGAGCACAGAGCTTTCAGCAAACAGAACATATCGTAAGCAGAAAAGCAAAAAGACAAGAAAAGGACGGACCACCGCGCTCGGTGCACGCCAATTTTTTCCAAGAAGCCTTGCCCTTTGATACCACTGGCCGCTGGCGATCCTGTGGCCACTTTGGCCACTGGCGATCACTTCGTCTGTGAAAATGCGGACGCGCATTCACAGCGCCGTGCACCCCAAGGGTAACAAACAAAGGCTTGTTTGCACGCAGATGGCCCTGCCCAGGAGCGGCGCGAGGGTGCTGATGGGGTCCAGCGGCCTGTGGAGCCTCATCGGCTGGAAGAAAGCCACGCAGGTGGCGCGGCGGGCGCCGATCGACGTCGCCGCCTCCAAGGTCGTGGATTGGGCCATCAAGTCCGGCAAGGGCGCGATCCAGTACGACACGAGCGCCGTGGTCGTGGACGCGATGCCCCAGGAGGCCTGGGGCTTCCCCAGCCTGGTGCGGCACAGGGCCGCCGAGAGGCGGGCCAAGTACCTGTGCGGCTGCCGCTGCGCCTTCGGCAAGGCCGACAGGCTGGGCTCCCTTCGGTTGGAGGTCGGCTGCGACGGCTCCCAGATCGTGGCCCACATCGACGGCCGCCTGCTCGTGTCGGAGCCCGAGGAGTCGCCCCTCAGGGACAGCTTCTCCAGCCTGGCTGAGATCACCTGCGGGGGGTTCGATGGGGAGGGGGACAGTTCCACGCCGCGGACGAGGACCCCTGGAAGGCGGTCCGCCGGGTACTCCCAGTCCCAGCGGAATAGCTGCTCCTCGAGGCGGGACTCCCAGGAGGGCTCCCGGAGGCCGTACGCGCCCGGCACGCCGGTGGACGTCGCGTCGCTGCCGGAGCGGCACTCAAACGGCTGGATGGAGACCTTTAGGCCCAGGGCGAACCCAGCGCCGTTCGCGTTCTTCGACCCTCTGCCGCAGGCGCCGACGGTCAGGGCCAGGGAGCTGCCCACGCCCTTCGCGCTCGCAGACCAGCTGCCACCCACACCGCGCAGGCACTCGGAGTCGACCAGGCAGCGCGGCGCGCAGCAGCCGTTCGTCTTTCACGGCCAGCTGCCGGCCGTGGCGCCCCTGGTGGGGCCCGAGGGCCCGGGCGGCCTCAGGAGAACGAAATCCGCGAGGGAGTCCGTGGAGCTGGCGCCGGGGACCTGGGGCCCCCTGGCGGCGGTCTCCCAGGAGGTGTTCTCATTCCAGGACGCGCGGCTGGGCAGGGACGCGTCCCTGTCCCCGTACGGGGGCGCGGTCAACCGGGCATGCCGATCGACATCGGAGGAGAGGGGAAGTTACGCCGTCGGCAGGCCAGCATGGATGCTGCCCTTCGCGCTGCAGTGCGAGGCGGGCGGTCTCAGGAGGCCGATGTCCGCGACGGGGGCGGCCGAGGGGGGGCCGTTCTGTCAGGGCGGCCCCTCCTGCCGGCCAAGGGAGTTGCTCGGCGCCGGACGGTTCCCAGGGCGTGGGGCGTCCCCGGAAAGGCGTTCGAATGATCATCGCGCATCCACGGAGAGGCAATCAGGTGATCGTCGTGCGTCCCCGGAGCTGCGCCAGCACGGTGAGGCGAGGAGCGCAGGCCCCTTGTCGTTGGCGAACGCGAGGCCCAACTCGTGTGCCAGCCGGATACCCGGGCGCGTGGTGCCGTTCACGATGCGACCCTCGGAAGGGGAGCCAGGTGGGGACGTGCCGGACGGGGCCTTCAACAGGGACGGCTGGGAGGTGCCCATGCACTCGCAGGCCTTCCGCAACCTGCTCCTGCAGGCTTCGGTGCTGCTGGGGAGGGACCAGGGAATGGGCAGTCCATTCGAGGGCTCCGCGGCCGGGTACTTCCCCATGCGGTCGATCACCGTGGACGATGCCCTGTCGGACGCCGCTGCTCCCAATCAGACGCTGCCGTTTCCACGGCCTTTCGACGGGGATGTCGGGGGCGTCATGCGCAGGGGCCGTCAGATGGGTCTCCTCACAAGTCCCCAGGGTGAAGCGGATTGCCGAGTGCAGAGGCTGTCCGAGAGATGAACGGCAGGGCGAGCGGACCGCGAATCTGTGTTTTGCCCCACATGTGACACCAGCTGGCTCGTATTATGATTATTTGGTCTCGCTAATTGGCTGTACATTGCAGCGCAATAGTGCCGTTGGCGAAAGAAAAGGTGGCGCTGATGGCCCACAGAAGGTGGCAGGTGCTGTGCAGCTGCTCGTTCTCGGGCGTGTGCTTCACCGCAGTTCGATGGAGGTCCCCATGGATGTTTCATGGAAGGCGGTTGTGTGGGTCATGCCAGTTAGCGCACAGGTGGCTGTGCAGGTAGAAGAAACAGGGTGACGGTGGACTCGCTGCACCTCTCTCGTTAGTTTTTTTTTCTACCTTGCTCGACGGCTCTGGTTCTGCCAGGGTAACTCGGGTAAAGCCCTGCACAGTTGAGCAGCTGGTGAACCAATATGTCCATCAGTGGAATAATGGCGTCTGGTGCCTGGTGTGGAAATCCATGAACTCTGCGTGAGCAGCCGAACTTGTTAGTGAGCCATCTTGATGTGATACCAGCGTGATAGCAGGAGGGCTGTTTGGAATCCATGGCATTATTGTGACTTTAGCGTGTCCACTTGATAAACTGTTAGAATGAGGAGCGAACATCCCAAAATACTCAGTTGTATCCTATGGTTGTGGTTGGGGACCTGGAAACAGCACAAGGTTAAAGAGCTGTGCTGGTCAGCAGTCGCTGTCAGCACAGCATTTGCGCCTTTTTGATGCAATGTCCTATCCACGAGGGAGATGTTGCTGTGCAGTCAAACCTGCGTGGTCGGTTTATAGGTGGCATGTATGCTAATAAGCCCAAGGCTAGACTTCACAGCGACACTACAGGCGGCCTCAGCATGTTTCCCTGCAGTTGTGCATGGCCAGGTGCTGGTGTGTTGCCTTGAAACTGGGGAAGACAGGATAGGTCCAAAATGCGGTGGGATAGCGGAGTTCTTCTAGAATAATCTTGCCTGTTGGTGCTCTTTGAACACGGGCCAATCTCCCTGCTTGCTGCCCTGGACTTGATTGATGCATGGCATCTTCGTCCCATTTCATTCGGCATGTTCTTTAGCACACATGGTACATCAAGCAGTTGTATTCACAAGTGTAATTCAAGCTTTAGTTTAGCCTTGTTGGTGCGTGCACGGGAGGGCTGACTCGCGAGTCCTGTGACTTCTCCTGGTGAACCACCTGCAGCATCCCAGGTGACGGTTACTCTGTATGGCATGAGCCCTAGTGCAGCTCTGTGACTTGGGGAAATTCGAGGAGATGCACCAACGCCCCTTACTGCTGCACCAACACATGAATTTCCTTCCAGGAGCTCCTGAAACTGGCCGGTCGTCCCTGAACGACTGAGACTGAGTTGCATGTCCAGTCGGTTGCATGATGGGCACTGACCAGCCACTGGTGAAGATGGACTCCAACTCACACTCTGATAACGCAATTTGGATAAGTTTCAACATGTTGAATGGTACCAATTCGCCAACATTGCTGCACCTGTATGTCAGTAGCAATGCTCAGCCACTGGACAGTGTATGAGTGCAGACGAAAATTGTGTGAGGGGGCATCTTCTTGCCAGTGGGCCTGAATGGCACGCCAACCCATGCCCATGTCCGCCTGTGAATCCTGATGATCCCACAAATGCAGGCTGCAAGGGGGCCTGCGCAATGCAGTATTTTCCCTCCAGGTCAAAATGGAAAGATAGGAGCTGTCACTTGGTGATAAAACCAATAACTATTGTGAGGGCGAGGGAGTGGTTAATATTTAACATGTGATATATGGTGTTTTTATGGTAGAAAGTAAATGTGGTGAGTATGGTGTTATGGTGAATGTGCATGGAGACGGTGGAGATGGGAGATGAACAATATTGCAGTGACTATTATTTAGCTGGTACGATCATTGTGTAATGCATCTAGTTGCAGTTTCGCTTCCCATGCCTTGGAGCGACCGTGTGCGAGCGTGTGCAAGAGAGTCCAATCAACTTGATATGGTTTCGGAGCTGGGAATGGACCCTGGGGGTCCAGATGTCTGATGGCAGCCTGGGAAACGCCGCTATCTCATTCTTCAATCCCCAAGCACCACCATCATTTTGGCAGTGCTCGGGGTGGCAGTCTTGTGGGATGCAGTGGCGGACTTGAGGTGCCAAGTGGAGGCTAGAGGTCGGCACAGGGCTTGCAATGCTGTCAGGCGCCGTTAACCTTGTTTTGGGACTTTTTTACCACTCAATGCCATAATTTTTGCTGATTTGGCAACATTACTATTTTTTGTGGTGCCAACTTTGACCTGGCGCCGTACAATGCCACTTGGTCCAATTTCTTGCCGTTGTTTGCCGTCCAAGCTGCTGCGGTTGCCATCTTTTGCCTAGGTGCCCGCGAGGCATGAGAGGTGCGGGAGGATGAGCGCCTAACAGGCGCCCATTCTTGCCAACTGTAGTCGCCTGGAATGGGGCCCGCCGATGGTGCGAGTGGGTGCCCACGAGGCACGAGAGGCGCGGGAGGATGGGCGCCTAACGGGCGCCCATTC